TCACCATCACCATCACCATCACCATCACCATCACCATCACCATCACCATCACCATCACCATCACCATCACCATCACCATCACCATCACCATCACCATCACCATCACCATCACCATCCTCCCGCCCGTTTCCGTGCCCTCTCCTGCCCAACCCACCCACCCACCCACCCACCACAGGGGACGGGGCGCTCCATTTGCTGGAGGAGATCCTACGCTCCGAGGGCTCCTTCCTGGGCGAGCAGCTCACCCTCCGCCAGTTCAACCCGGCCATCTACGCTCTCGTACGGTACGAGGACCGCACACACGACGCGCGACACCACACGACGCGCAACACCACACGACGCACGCATGGCACACACGCACGGCGCTCCGCAGGAAGAGAAATCTGACGGCGCTCCCAGGCTGGGCCAGGTCGACCGGGCGCTCACCCTGGTGGAGGACATCCAGACCCACGGCCTTCAGCCCGACATCGCCACCCACAACACCATCCTCAAAGGTGCGTCAATTAATTGGGGCACCCAGCAGACGTCTCTCTATCTCTCTCTCTCTCTTCATCTGTCCATCTCTTCCCTGCCCCCCCACGCGAGATCAGCACTGCACGTCTTGGCTTGTGCCGTGGGTCGTGTGCCGTGTGCGTGTCACACACGACGGTTGGCCTGACCTCGTCGGGCGTCGCTGCAGGGTTCGCACTGCGGGGAGATGCGGTGGGCGCTGTGCGCTACTACAACGCCATGCTACGCAAGGCACGTACCAACCCACCACCACCCACCACCGCGCGGAAGCCCCGCTGCCGGCCCTAACCCGCAGCACACAACATATGCGCGCGCGCGCGCCCACATCCACCTCCACCTCGGGAATCCGCGCAGGGGGTGAAACCGACCACGAAAACGTTCGAGGCCCTCCTCCGCGCTCAGGTACCTTCCTCTCTTTACTATCAAAAAGCCTCTTGTATGCCAGATACACACGACACACGACACACATCTATACCTATTATCAATATCAATATTTCCATATTCATGTGGAAAACCACGTGGCGCCGCGTTTCCTCTCGGCCACCGCATCCCACCCTCACCTCTTGCGTGCGCGGCGGCGGGGCAGTCGGAGGTGGTGGCACGGGAGGTGGGCTCTCTCCAGCCGGCGGCCCTCGTCACGGCGCAGCTCTACAACTTTGATGAGTCCAATGTGCTCCGGGCGGCGTCGCCCGGCCACATCCAGGACGCCTACTCCCAACTGCTCCTCGAGATGCAGGCCCACGTGCGCATTCCCCACCCACCGCACCCACCATATCGTGCCCACCGCACCGCCCGGGGCTGTGTGTCATGCGTGTCGTGTGTATCTCGTGTGGCATGCGTATCGTGTACGTCGTGTGTCGTGTACGTCGTGTGAGGTCCCCCTCATATGGGTAGAGATGTAGAGATGTATTCACGCGTGTGGACGTGCGCACCGGAATGACGCGCGTGCAGGGAGTAAAACCCAAGGCCCAGTTCCTCTCTTCGCTCGTGTACGGCATGTGCCTCACGGGCCTGGTCGAGGCCGCTCTGCCCCTGGTCGTCTCCGCCCTCCAGGTACCCACGCACTGCTTTTGATGTCTCCTCCTCCTCCTCCGCCTGCCGTGGTGGCTCGTGGTGGTGCGCTGGTGGTGGCTGGGTGCTGACCGGGGCTGGTGGTGGCTGATGGTGGGATACGTGTATCGTCGGGATATCTATCTATCTATCTATCTATCTATCTATCTATCTATCTATCTATCTATCTAAAAAGCAGGGCGATGCGGAGGAGAGCGGGAGAGGAGGAGGAGGAGGAGGAGGAAGGGGCGTGGGCGGGGCGTGGCTGCGGCAGGAGCGTGCGGACGTGAAGCTGTTCAACCAGCTGCTGCTGGGCATCTCGCTGCAGCCGCAGCCCTCGCTGGACATGACCGCGCAGGTGCTGGAGATGATGGAGGGTGCCGGGGTGATGCCCAACCAGCACACCTACACGACCCTCATCAACGTCTACGCCAACTTCACCCAGCATACCGCGTTCCCGCGTGGGCCGCCCTGGCTCTCCCCGCGCAACACGCCCGAGCTGCGCGAGGCCGGGCGCGAGGCCCTCATGAAGGCCCTCTCGGTCTACTTCTCCATGCGGCGGCAGCACCTCCGCGAGCAGGCTGCCTCGCCCTCCTCCTCGGCGCGCGGGGTGCCCACGGCCACCTTCAACTCGCTCGTCAAGCTCGTCGGCACCGAGGACCTCCTTGACGTCTCCTGCCACGACATCGACCACCTCCATGACGAGCTCCTCCTACTCGCCGCCCATCACGACGCCCCTGCCCCGCCGCCGCCGCCCCGCGCCAAGCAACAACGCGGGCAGCAGCAGCAGCAGCAGGACGAGGCGGAGGCGTGGACGCGCCTCCCGCTGGCCGAGCTCCAGAAGCGGTACGCCGAGCGTCCGCTGCCCCTGCCGGCCTACTTGCCCGCCGAGCGCACGGCGTCCCAGATGACACCCCTCGAACTGCTGGCCTGGCGCGACCTCGCCGCCAATGGCGCCAGCCCCCGACCGCGTGACTTACAACCACCTCATCTTCCACCTCACGGCCTCCGGGCGCCTCCCGCACGCTGAACACTACCTCCGCTTCCTCCTCCTCCACCACCACCACCACCACCACCACAGCCCTCCTCCTACTCACGAGAACCCTTCTTCCGCCGCCTCCTCCTCCTCCTCGGGACCCGCAGCGCAGGCGGCCGACGGCGGTGGCGGGCGGCCCGACTTCCTGGGGCGCCAACTCAACCCCAAGTACTCGTCCTACCTCATCAAGCAGCGAAATGACCGCCGAGCCCAGTTCGCCAAGCTCCTCGCCAAAACGCCCCCCTCCGCCGCAGTGGGTACTGTCCACCACGAGCAGCAGCAGCGGCAGCAGCAGGAGGAGGCACAGGAGTCGACGGACGTCTTCGGTTTCGACGAAGCGCCGGGGGTGGAAGCCGGAGCCCACCACCACCCGCTGTTCCTGCGCACGCTGTGGCGAGTCGGCGAGGAGTACCTGCGCACGCATCGCTTCGACGACTTCGTGGAGTGCTACCGCCTGGCCCGGCAGAGCTATCCCGTGTCCGCCACCAAGTGCTTCGGCTTCCTCCTGCGTGCCTGGCGCACGCCCGGCAGCCCGGACCTCGTCCCCGACGCGAGCGCCGAAAACGCTCTGCGGCAGGCCCTCCGCAAGCACGCCATGGCAGACCCCGAGGCCGCCTCTCCCCCTTCTTCCGCCCCGATAAACGCCCTCTTCCAGTAGTAGTAGTAGTCTGCGTAGCCACCAACGCGACGATCGTCGCCCGCTTCACCTGCTTGCCTGCCCGCCTGCTTGCCTGCCTGCCAGGCCTCCTCCTCCTGCCCACCTCGCGGGTTGGGTGTGGTTGTGGGCTGTATTCTGAGAACCCTTCTCACTGCCATCGTTATTGGGGGTGGTGGTCCGCTGCGAGGTGCTGCTCGAGCAGCTGGTTGATGGTCTTGGGGTCCGCGCGACCCTTGGAGGCCTTCATCACCTCTCCGACGAAGAACCGCTTGAGCTTGACCTCCCCGCTGCGGTAGCGCGCCACGTCGTTGGGGTAGGTACCCACCACCTGATTGATGTTGCGGGTTTGGTTTGGGCGCGTGGAGAGTGTGACAGGGCGGCGGCCATGAGGCCTCCCTCCCTCCCTCCTCCGAGAAGAAAGGAAGGAAAGAGGCGCGGGGGTGGGGGGTGCTGGGGGGGTTGTACCTGGAGGACCAGCTGTTCGAGGGCAGAGGCGTCGTGGGTGAGTTGCCACCCCTTGGCCTGCACAATGTCGGGAGCCAGGCGAGAATCGCCGAGGGCCATGAGGTCGAGGACTTGCTTTCCGGTGGCCCTGGAGATGGTCCCGGCGTGGATGAGGCCCACGATGGAACTCACTTGCCCCGGCGTCACGGGACTCTCCTCGACGGACTTGCCCGCCGACGCCAGCCGCCCAAACAGCTCTGATGTCACCCAGCTCGCCATCATCCGATGCAGCTTGGTGGACCCCTTGGCCTCCTCCTCCTCCTCCTCCCGCTTCTTCGGCTCCTCGCTGCTGCTGCTCTGCGATCCTTGGCGTCTTCCTTCCCGCACGGCTTGCTGTCCCCCGTCCATGGAACCCACCACCAGCCACCAGCCACCAGCCACCATCAGCCAAAGCGAAAAAGCGAAAAAGCGAAAAGAACAACCAACTACAAGGCAGGCAGGACGGGCAGACGGGCAGGGGAGAACGGGGGGAGGGGAGAGGGGTGCCTCGAAGAAGTGGGTCGCGCCGTAGGTGTCCACGAGCACCTGGGCGTCGTAGAGCGGCAGATCATAGTCGGCCACCAGGCGACGGCACTTGTCGTCAGGAAGCTCCGGGAGCTCGGCCCGGATCTGCTCCACCAGGCCTTCCTCGATCACCAGCGGCGGAAGGTCCGGTTCCGGAAAATACCTTGCCCCCCCCCAAGCCACCAGGCGTTGGGTCACCACACGACACACACCGACACACAACACGACACACACACACGTGCAGCAAGGTATCGCTGGGTGGAAGGGGGCTCCCGTCGGTACCGGTAGTCGACTTCATCTTCCTTGGATCGGAGGCGAACGGTTCTGTCGAGGTGGGGATCGAAGTAGCGCGTCTCCTGCTCTATCACTCCGCCGCCCTCCAGCAGCTCGATCTGCCTCTCGGTCTCGTACTCTGTGCGATGACCCCGTCCGCCCCCGCGCCCACCTGCTCGGTCAGTCTCCTGACCGCGTGCGCAAAAGGAGAGGCGGGCGGGACCGATGGCACGCTGGATTTGCTTGAGCGAGTTCACGTTCTTGACCTCACAGCGCGTGCCTCGGGGTCCGCCCACCCTGGCCACACGACACGACACGACACGACACGACACGACACGACACGACACGACACGACACGACACGACACGACACGACAAAGCCGTTGGATTGGTGGCTGCTGGTGGCTGCTGGTGGCTGCTGGTGGTGCTGGTGGTTCAATGGCGGCGCACGAACCGGTTGACGGATACATTGACATCGCAGCGGAGGGAGGACTTGTCCATGAGCCGAGGGTCCGACGCCCCGACGCAGTGGAGCAGCATTTGCATCTTCTGCAGGTACTCCACTGCCTCCTCCCCCGAGCTGTGCCCACCTCGCCCGCGTCCACCACCAGACGGCGGCGGGAGGGGAGGACAGTGAGTAGGTCCCAGATAGGGGGGGAAGGAGAGAGAGAGAGAGAGCACACACACGCACGCACACACACGCACACACACGGTTGGGGCGTACCAAAGGTCCGGCTGGGAGATGATTTCGAGGAGGGCGAAGCCCGCCCGGTTGAGGTCCACCAGCGTGTTGAGCGGGTGCTGGTCGTGGTACGACTTGCCGCTGTCCTGCATCCCCACACACACGACACACACGACACACACCCAATAGGGGGGGACAGAAGAGGGATCGACAAGAGAAGAGAGCGAGAGAAGGTGTGGAGGTGAGGCGGGCAGTTCCGACGAGGAGGGGGGGGATGCGCATGCAAAGGTGGGGAGGAAGCCCACCTGCTCGAGCTGGACGCGATGGAGCGCGATAGAACGCCGCCGCGACTCATCAAAGGGGAAGATGGTTAGGTGCCCACCGGTCACTATCGGGTCTGTAGAGGGAGGAGGCGGCAGAGGAGAGCCAAATGGCCACCGGCACGCGCTTGTTAGCAGCGCGCACGTGCAGCTGTTGGTGCGCGTGTGTGTCGGGGGGGCTCTTGGCGGCAGGAGGGCATACGGGTATTTTGTGTGATCTGGTAGCCCGATGGCATGTCGCAGTAAAAGTAGTGCTTGCGGTCAAATCGCGAGCGGAGGTTGACCTGCCCGCCCAGCGCGAGTCCCACCCTCACCGCCTGCCGCACGCATTCCTCGTTGAGCGCCTGCACTCATTCGCCACGACACGCACGACACACGTTGTTAGTTGGCAACGTGAGACCTCAGTGAATGGTCCAGCTCTGCCCCGCGCGGGTGGTGCTGCGTAGTGGCTGGTGGTGTGACGGAAGGCATTGGTGGTGGTTGCTGGCGGCTGGGGTGCTGCTGCTGGTGAGTGGTGGCTGGTGGTGGCTGGTGGTGGCTGGTGAGTGGTGGCTGGCTGCTGGTGGCTGCTGGTGGTGGCTGGTGGGCAGGGAACCGGAAGGGTGCCCGGGTAGGCGGCATCAAAGAGCGCCACCTGCGCGTTGCTCGCTCCTCCGAACTGGGCACGAGCGCCTGCACGTGGCGGCGGCGGCGGCACCGATGTGTACCACCACGTACATGGATGGCAGTACGGTGAGAGACGGGGCGAGTAGGGGGCGACAGTTGCCACTCCAGGAGGCTGAGCAGCAGCAGCAGCCACCACGTACATACCACACAATGCCATAACCATAGCAGAACATTTCGAAATGTTCGAACAAAACAACAGAGCGTCCGTGCGTACCGGAGAAAAGTTTGGACTGCGAGAGGATCTGGGCGTGCAGCTCCAGCCCCACCACCACCTCCCACCCCGCCGGGTGGTGCTTCAACCGGCTGCTGCTGGCGGTGGTGGCGAGGCACCTACGAGGGGGGAATCCGGAAGCCCCACTGTGGCGAGCAAGTGGTGCCGCGCCGCCCCCAGCAGAAGCAGCATTCGGTGCTGCTGCTGCTGCGCGTCCTCCTCGTGGGGCCGCCACCAGTAGTCGCCTGTGCATCTTTTTTCTTTCTTGCGGGCTTCTTTTCCTTTTGCTCCTTTTCCTTTCCGAGAGGAAAGGAAAAATGTGAAAATGCCCTGAGGCATTCCTATCATTCAAGTCCCAGGGCGGAAAAAGCCGGGCTCGGAAGAGCCAGGCCAGGCCAAGGACCTGTTTTTTTGTTTTTTCGAAAGACAAGAAGAACGAGAGTCGGCAACGAAGTATGTGGGCGGCCTATCGGACACTGTTGGAACGGCGACCCCTCGCCACCAAGGCTCTGACGGCCGGTGCCATCATGGGACTGGGCGATGCCATGCAACAGCTGGTCATTGAGCGCACCCACACCCCCGCCGTACGCCCCTCCCAGACCACTCGCCCGCCCGCTTTGTTGTGGAGGGGGGGGGTAATGGTGCCGCGGTGTGGTTGACGAGCGGGGGGGGGCGTGCATGGCACACGATCGGGTGGCTGCTGCTGCTGGTGGTGGTGGGGTGGGGCAATGCTGCAGGGCGGGGTGTGGCGCTACGACGCGTTGCGTACAGCGCGGCAGGGAGCGTTTGGTGTGTTCTTCATTGGCCCTGTCATGCACAAGTGGTTCGCCATCCTCGACAAGGTACTACTTCTGCTGCTGCTGCTGCTTTGCCTCCTCCTCCCTTCCTCTCCATCCGTCCATCCATTGGGGGGGAGGGGGTCTTCCTCTGTGTCGCTTCTGACACGAAACCCCCAAACAACCCCCACTCCGCCCTTGCCTTTTTGTGCGGTGGGCCGCCGTCATCGTGCTGCCCCTCCCACCCCACCCCACCCGCCACCGTACCGACCACCAGGTGGTGCCGGCCAGCAAGGTGGGACCTCTCGTGAAGGTGGGGCTGGACCAGGCCATCATCGGGCCTCTCGTCTGCTTTTCCTTCTTCAGCCTCATGGGCCTCATGGTACACACCCCACCCACCTCTACCACCACCCCTAAAGCCACTTACACACCACGACCACCGCGACCACCACGACCACCGCGACACCCACCCAACATACAACGACTACACTGTGGTTTGGGTGGGTGGGGGGCGTCGTCGTAGGAGGGACAATCGCCGGCGCAGATCGAGAACAAGCTCAAAAATCACTTCTGGCCCACGCTCGTCATGAACTGGAAGTACGCTCAGCCCTTCCCCCCCCCAATCAACGATGATCCACGCGCCCAGCCACATCCATCGGGCTGGCTTGTGGCCGCTGCTGCTGGCTTGTGGTGCTGTCGGCAGTGGTTGGGGGCTGGTTTGCCCTAACTCGTCTGGGGTGTGTGTAGGGTGTGGCCAGCGATTCAGTTGGCCAACTTCTACCTCGTTCCCCTGCCCCTGCGCGTGCTATGGGCCAACTTGTACCCCTCCCCCGCCACCCGGCCACCACCCATCTCTATCCGCCCCCCCTCTCCCCACATACTCACGACCTCTCCTCCACCTCCGGCGTGGAGGAGGGACAAACAGGGGCCAGTTTGGGTGGTCCATGTACCTCTCCCACCAGGCCCACAAGGACGTGGACCACGTGCCCGTGCCCGCCTCTCGCGACGAGTGATTGCCCCCGCGCGCGCGCAACGACGTGATGTTAGTGGCGATGATGTGAAACGTTCCAGCAGCAGCAGCAGCAGCAAGCAGCTCGCTTTCGCCCTGCTCGGATGCGCTTCTCTCTCTTGCAGCGGCGCAGGTTTTTGTACAAATCGGGGGGGGGGTCACCACGACGAACGACGACGACGACGACTAGACCTTGAAGATGGTCTTGAGGGTGGAGGAGAGCTCGTTGACGATGCGGGCATTCTGCTCGCTTTCCTTGGGGGTCATGGGCACGTACTTCTGGCACTGCTTGTGGTACCCCAGCGTCTTGACCAAGTTGCCGAGCGTCGGGCTCGAGGGCACCAGCACCTGCCCGCGAGGTGGCTTCAGCCCAACTCCCCAGCCGGCAGAAGCAGAAGCAGACGCAGCGCCCAAGGTCCTCCCCCACATCATATGATGTGGTGGAGTTGTGCGGGGGGGGGGAGGGTGGCGGTACCAGCGGCGAGGGCGCGGCGGCGGAACCCGCGAGGGCAAGCTCATGCATGGTGTCGGCCACGGCCTCCCCATTGGCGTCGTCCTTGCGCAACAGCCACTCGGGGGATATGTAGTTGAGGTTGAGGAAGGGGATCTGGATGGTGCAGCCCTTGCCGTAGATGTTTTGCAGCTGCGTACGTGCGTGACCCACCAGTCAGCCAGAGGCGCCCAGCCGCGGGGGGGGCATGCCCCCGCGGGGGGTGGGCGGTGCGTGGCAGGAAAAGCAGCAGCAGCAGCAGCAGCGGTGGTGGGTGGGTGGGTGGGTGGGTGGGGTGCCTTGTCGGAGAGGCCGAAGCCGCGAGTGGGGTCGTCGGCGACCTTGCGGCGGAGGGTGGAGTAGGTTCGCACGGTACCTGTCGAGCCTCCTTCCTTCCGTGGCCGCTCCTCCTTGTCGGCCACCACGTACGTGGAAAACCCGCCGTCTTTGTCTGCACGTGCAGCACGCCAACGTGGGGGCACACGCACGCGTTAGTGCACGCACACTGAGAGCCCGCGAACCCCACCATCGCCTCCTTCTCCTCCGTGTCACCTCCTGCCTGCCGCCATCCAAACGGAGAAGGAGGGCACCTTCGTCGGTGAGACGCATGATGGTGGTGGAGGAGTCGAAGGGCATATCGTCGGGTTTCATCATCGTAGTACCCGTCATAATGGTGGTGCCTACACACGCGACACACGAGTTGTGTTGGTGAGGAGGAGGGGCGTGTGTCGAGGGTGCAACGCGGCACACGACATGATCACGGGGATGGGGGTGGGGGTGGGGGTGGGGGTGGGGGTGGGGGTGGTGATTGAGCAATGTGACTCTGTTGTACCCGAGTCGTACTCGGAGGCATGCATGATGGTGGTGGAGGAGTCGAACGGGGTGGTGGCCTCCTTGTCGTCGTCGAGGCGCATGATGGTCGTTGAGTTATCGAACTCCGACGATGTGCCACACGCGTCCATCCCTTTGGGGACGGGAGGGTGAGCGCTGACAGCTCCACGCGCCGAGTGCCTTCGGTAGTGGGGTGGATGAGGGGAGGGGAGAGTTCACCTCGCATGATCGTGGTGCCGGTGTCGTAGCTTTCGTCGTCCTCCTTGTTGATCCACGACTCGGTCACGTGCGCCACCACCTGCGCTCGCGAGCACGACACCAAGGCATTGGGTGAGGGGAAGGCGAGGGGCGGGAGGTGGCTGGCTGGCTGGCTGGCTGGCTGGCTGGCTGGCTGGCTGGTGGGCGGGTTGCGTACCGTGCCGTGAGCGTTCTCGTCCTCGCCGTAGGTGCCCTCGTCTTCGTCGGCATCTTTGATAATGCGACCTTGGCGCGCAACGATGTTCTTGCACTTGTTGATGAGATCGACGAGCACGGTCTTGGGTTTGCAGTTGGCTACGAACGGGTGCTGCGACAACCACCGGCATCCAACGCATGGCGTGGAGCGTTAGCGATGGGCACCGGCTCCGACGGCACGCACAGACGGGCACACGACACAGTGTGTGTGTGTTGTGTGCGTGTGCGTATATATAAGATCGGCAGAGAGTGAGGGAGGAAGGAGAGGAGAGGCCTACCTCGAGTAGTTTCTCAGCAGACGGACGCTGATGCGGATCCTTGGTAAGGCAAGCAGCCACGAAGGAGTGGAACTCCGGACTCCTGCGCCATATCGCCATATCGCCATATCATCACCACGATCAGCAGCACATCGCGATGTTTGAGCAGGCAGGCGCACGATCCCCCCCAGGGGGAGCCAACGGCAGGGGCGGCGATAGCGGAGGGGGGGAGGGCTGGCAACGCGATGCGGGGGTAGGTACCACTTGGCCTTGTCCTGCAGGGTGGGGGGCTCGTTGCGGGGGATCATGAAGAGGACGCGCATGGGGTGGGTGTCGTGGTAGGGGGGGAAGGTCTCCGCCATCTCGATGGCCGTGATGCCAAGTGACCAGATGTCCGCCTTCCCATCGTAGGGATGCTCCTTGATGACCTCGGGCGCCATCCTGCGAATCCCACGCACGCATCACGCGACACACACAAGCACGCACGCACACGCACACACACACACACAACACACTAAGCGAAGATGCCGACCAGCGGAAGGAAGAAGTCGTGAGTGACCTCTACTCTGCTCTGCTCTGCTCTGGGTCTTGAGAGCAGATGGAGAGAGCAGAGCAGAGCAGGAGCAGAGGAAGAGGGCATATGTATGCGCACCAGTAGGGCGTGCCCACGAATGTGTTCCGCTTGGAAAAGTTGTTGAAGAGCGTTGCCGACACGCCAAAGTCGGCTGCGCCCCGCCCCGCCAACAAAACCACCACACGCGATGCGCACGACATACAGAGACACGAGACGTGAGTTTGGCAGACACTTGTGCGAATAACATAACATAACATAACAGAAGCAACACTGGATGGCTGGTTGGCTGTCTTGTGGTCCACCAAGGCGGCGCACCCAGCTTGACATCGCCGCTTTCGGTGAGCAGGATGTTGCCCCCCTTGATGTCCCGGTGGATCTTGGTCCCGTTGTGGAGGTAGTTGAGGCCCTGCCACCGCCGCCGTCATCAGTGCCCCCGCGGTATCGCTTCCAACAAATGGAGGCGCGCGCGCATGCACCAGACCGACGTAAATGGCAGACGAGGAGGTGAGCGCCGGACAAACCTTGAGGGCCTCGCGACAGATGATGGCGATCTGGTCTTCTTGCAGGCCCGAGTCCAAAATCACGCACAGATCACTCACTGACCCTCCCCCGCAGTACTCCATGCAGATCTGCACGCCACGCACCGCAACAACGCGATGTGCGTGCGTGCGTGCGTGCGTGCGTGCGTGAGAGAACGCGCTGCAACCGCAAAGGGATTGGGGGCGGTGGGCGGTGGGCGGCGGTGGGCGGTGGCTGGGAAAACACGCACCCATAGCTTTTCGTCCTTAAAGTAGCTGCCTCCGTAGCGCACTATGTTGGCGTGGTTGCAGGTTGCAAGAATCTTGATCTCACCTCTCACGTCCTGCCTCCCGCCCACCAATAGTTGTGTGAGGCGAACGAACCGCGGGGGGAGGGGAGGAGATGCTGCTGGACCTTGAGGGTGGCTTCGTCGTCGAGGGCAAGTATTTTGACGGCGAGGGTCTCGTTGGAGGTACGGTTGCGCCCCTTGTAGACCATGCCATAAGAACCCTTCCCAAGCTTCTCTTGCAACTCGAACACGGCCTCGGGGTCTTCCGTGGAGATGTCATCTATCATGTGCTTGACCATGGCCGCCAATTTCTCCCCTTTGATTTGGCCCAGCATCCCCTTTTGATGATGATGATGATGTGCCCGCTTATTTTGTGCGTGGCCTCGTCTCGCTTGTCTCTGGGAAACTGCTCCCCCAGAAGAAATAAAAGGGAAAAGGACGGCGCACGATTTGTGCACGCGCGGTAGGCATGGGGGGGGGGCAATTGTAACGGCCACCCCAAGGAAAAGACGGAAGGCGAACGAACGAGGGAAGGAGGGTACCGCGTACATTCACATCTGTAGAGGGAGAGGAGAGAGGAGTCATGGAGCAGAGCGACCCACAAGTCCACATCATAGGCCATGAGGGGCTCGAACATCACGGCGCGATTCATCATCACCAAGCCCTCCACCACCTCAATCACGCGCATGTGTCTCACGCCACATCGCTCCACCACGCCACGCACCATCATGGCACCCTCCAGGAGCCGCTCCCGACGGTCGAGGTGGATCAGACGGGGTCGGCACAGGGATTGCCGGGGCTACCGCCCTCGATACTCTCTCTTTCCTACTACAGCACCGCAGCTTCCTCGGGTGCCGACGGCAGCGGAGGAGGGGCCGGCGGAGGAAGTGGAGATCACACCGGGGTCCCGGGAGGCTCGCTCGGGGCCGTAGTCGGAGATGGCCACGGCGGAGAGGGGGCTGCCGGTGGTGGTGGCGGTGGTGTCAACCACGACCACAACCACGACCACGACCACGACCACAACCACAACCACATGGCGGTGGGCACCCCGCCTGCCACGCGCAAGAGAGGGCGACCGCGGAAGCCCCCCACCCCATACAACTGCGCCTTCGTCGGGTGCCAGAAGCAAATCACCAAGCGTCGATTCTGTGCCGCCCACCAGAAGCGACGCGAACGCGCCCGCAAGAAGGCCCAGCAGCAGCAAATCCAGGGCCAACCGACAGGTACCTCCCTTCCTGCCCCGCCCCGCCCCCCTTCTCTTGCATCCGCGGCAACACCCGCCCAAAGGGAAAAAAAGGCCCCGCTAGCGGGTGTCGTGCCGGGGGGGTCGTTCTTCTTCTTTCTTCTTTAGTTGACTGACATGACCCATGGGTCCATCGATTGGCTGGCTGGCCAAACGAACCGCCACCGCCACCGTGGTGGTGATGATGATGATGGGCCAGACATGGGGGCTGGGGTGCCAGGTGTGGGCGAAGATCAGCAGGCGTTGCTCGCCAACCTTCCGCCACTACCTCCGATGCTGCAGGAAGCGGCCGTCGCAGGCCCGCCTCTCATGATGCCCTTCCAGCTGCAGATGATGGCCGAACTCAGCAAACAGCAGCAATCCGTAATCCCTCCCTGCCTGCCCGCACGCCGACGTTTGCGCGGCGGCGGTGGCTGGTGGCTGGTGGGTCAATCCTATACATGCCTGACTCGTACGCGTGCGTGCGTGCGTGCGGTTTGTGGCCATGCATGCAGTATGAACAGCAGGGGTATGACGGCCAACACCACGCGGTGGCTCAGCAGGGCTACGAAACACACGGTCACGACCAACCCGCGTATGACATCGCACAACAGGCTTACGAGCAGCAGGTCGGTTACACCACCCAACAGGTACCATCATATCCCATATCCCCATCTCCTCGTCTTGCTCTCTTCTCTATTTCTCCCTCCCTCCCTCTCGTCGAGCATGCGCCTGACCAGTGGGTGGGGTTACGCCATCATCGTCCATGGCGACGACGACGACGACGACAACGACGATTATCCGGGTGATGTTGATGCTCTCCAGGAGGAGAGCTATGAGGAAACCTTCGCGGTGCGCAAGAGGAAGCGCGAGGATGAAGAGGGCGGGGACACGTCACCCGAGATCATTGCACAAACCGACGAGCAGCACATGCCAGGGGTGCACCACCACCACCACCACCATCACCACCACGATACCCGAGTCGGCGACCAGCAGGGCGAAGCTTCCCACAGCTCGGAGCTGCTGTCGCAAGAAGAGCAAGTGCGACACGCCGAGCAAGACCGCGCGCAATCGAATGGAGGGCCGGAACAACCGCACCAGGAACAACAGCACCAGGAGGAGGAGCACTGGAGCGCAACCACTCTGGTGGTCGGGCAGGAGCCGCCCTTGCCCCACGACCACGCCCATCATCATCATCATCACCACCACCACCACGCCCATCACCATCACCATCACCAGCTGGAGCACGAGTTGGCACACGAGCACGAGGCGCAACCGCAGCCGATGGAGTTCCAAGTCGTCGAGGGTGAAGAGGAGAATCCACACCTGCCACCACAGCAGGCCGATGTAAGCAAGAGCCATCTACCAAGTGCGTTCTTCCTCACCCCCCCCCTGGCGGCAACGACGGAATGCCTGACCGCACCACCACCACCACACCATTCCCACGCTGCGTTGGCTCTTTGGTTGGCTCCGCAGCACCAGGGGGCGGGCAACCCGAGCCAGATCCCGAGGGGCAAGAAGCAAGGTGGGTTTGAGTGCGAGGGCGAGGGCAGAGAGAGAGAGAGAGAGGAGATCAATGGGAGTACTACTCTTGAGCCAGCGACAGAGAGATGGTAACGACGGGCGCACGCGTAGGGCACATCAACGACACATCAACGGCGAAGTGACACTTGCTCCTTTCCCCTTTCGGCCGATCTTCGACAGCGGCAGCAGTGCGCAGAGCGAGGGAGACCGGACGCGAGGGGTGGAAGGAGGAAGAAGGAGGAGAGAAGGAAAGAGAAGGAGAGGGAAGACGTCTGCACATGCAAACGTTCCGCTCCTGGCGCCCAGCGTGACTTGTACGCCACCGTGTGTGGCCTTCTTTTTCGTACGCACAAAAAAGCCAAGAGAAACAACATTTTCTTCTGTTTCTTTTCTCCGAAACGAACGGGAACGGCCGCAGAATCTTGGATCATCAGCACCGCAATCAGAAAAGGACAGGATGGAGAGCGACAACACATCTCCGGCCTCTTCCGCCTCCATGGAGCTGAGCGATTCATACCATGATAGCGAAGCGGGAGCAGTCGTGGTGCCTGGTCAGCGAGTCGGGCACGCAGAGGATTACGCTGCGGGAGAGGGCACCTACGTGCGGGGCTCACACATTTATGCATCCGTGCTGGGGCGCCGCCGTCTGCTCTCTCCCGCCGAGGCCCAGCGATGGCGGGAAGGCCTCAACGTCGGCGAAGAGGCCTCGCCAGTGAACGGAGGAGAAGATGCTGGCAAGAGTGTGGTGGTCGTGGAGAAGGCAGGAGGCCGAGGGCTTGGAGGCGGAGGAGGATGGGTGCCAAGAGCAGGCGATGTGGTGACGGGGGTCGTTGTTCGTGTAACGCCTCGCGTGGCCGCCGTGAACATAGCGTGCGTGGGGCGAAGGGCGCTGCCGGAGACCTTCAGCGGCATCGTGCGGAGCCAGGACGTGCGGGCGACAGCAACAGAGCAGGTGGAGCTCTACAAGGCCTTCCGCCCGGGCGACGTGGTGCGGGCCGAGGTCCTCTCGCTGGGCGACGCCAGGTCCTACTTCCTCTCCACAGGACGGAATGACCTGGGCGTCGTGTCCGCCACCCACTCCGTGTCAGGCGCTGCCATGGTGCCCCTTTCCTGGAACATGATGATGTGCCCCAAGACCAACATGACAGAACCACGCAAAGTAGCCAAGCTGGCACCATAAACAGCATGTTCCTGGACTGTTTTGACCAAAGGGCTTTTTTTTTGTGTGTAGCCCAAACCGGTTTTTTGGGCAGTGTGGCGATCAAAGACGTCAGTCGAGAGCTGGTCTCTCCTCTCCAGCCTCAAGAGAGGAGGGTCCTACCTACAACAAGGGAGAGAAATATGGAGGCCATAGGTCTTTATTCTCATCAAATTTGAATTTTGCGAATTGATTAATCATCTTCATACTCAGAGAGAGCCACGCACAGCTGTAACGCAAGTGGTTGTCTGTGTTCCGACGGCCTGACTACAGAGCTACCAACAGCGTAGCGCCAGGCATGCGCTGCCAAGATTGAGATCGCGGATTGGCAGCAGCACCGTCAAGTTCGCCTTCATGACGACACCGACCTCGTAGAGGTGGCAAGTGCAAGGAACCCGTCTCCCTCAGTTCAGCCTAAGAAGCCTGAGAACTGCTACACTGACATCAGGCTCTCGACCAACCAGTGGGATTCCAACTACGTGACCAACACCTTAGCGGGCCAAGCAAGTCGACAAAAATAAAATTGTAATGAGATAAAAATAAATATATAATAAATATATTTTTTAATGCAATTAAATAACAACAGTTCCTCGAGAAGGCTCCGAGTCATGCCTTGCCATTTTTGTACGGCAGACCAAAACCTTACAACAAAAGAGCGCCTGTTTTCTCGCTTGCCTTGATAGCTGGTGGCCTGGAAATCAATTACCAGACCAAATAGACCAGGGGCTACAAGACGCCGTACGATTCTGGGCTCTACAATGCACCGTTCGCCTCCTAACTTGGAACCACTCCCTCAGGCAAAGCTCACCAGTTTTCTCGCTTGCCTTGATAGCTAGCGGCCTGCCATTAATTTTCCAGACCAAATAGACCATGGGCTACAAGATGGCGTACGATTCTGGGCTCCACAGTGTGCTGTTCGCCTCACAACTTGGAGCTAGAAAAGCACACTCCAGTCAAAGCGCACGTGTTTGCTCGCTTGCCTTAATAGCTAGCGGCCTGCCATTAATTTTCCAGACCAAATAGACCATGGGCTACAAGATGGCGTACGATTCAGGCCACGACGGTGCGATGTCCGCCTCTCGACTGATGGATTGAAAATCACCCAATCAAATTAAACACCAGTTTTCTCGCTTGCCTTGATAGCTAGCGGCCTGCCATTAATTTTCCAGACCAAATAGACCATGTGCTACAAGATGCCGTAAACGTGTAGGGGATGCAACAAAAACGCGTAACACTCGTTAAACGCGTTTAACTCGTTTAACTAGGGGGATGAGTCGCCGGCCGCGATGTCCGCGGATAATCGCGATCTCCCGCGGACCGCCTACTCTTCACCGCGGGGAGGTCGCGATTATCCGCGGATGATCGCGATGTCCGCGGGAGGTCGCGATGTCCGCGGGAGATCGCGATGTCCGCGAAAACAAGCCATCCCCTCGTAAAACACTGATTAAACTCGTTTAACGACCTGCCCACTCGTTGAACGTGTGGGCCACTCGTGAAACGAGTGGAGAATGTGTGAAACGAGTAGAGAATGTCGTGTGGAACAGGGGGCGACGAGCAGTGGGAGTAGTTGTGTATTGAGGAAAGATTAAAAAGAAAAACTAAAGCGCCGGTCCCTTACAGGTATTCCACCGATGATTGAATACTAAGGAAAAAGTTAAGAAAACCTTAATTCCGACAGAGAACGTGTGAAACGAGTAAAAACCGCGGGAACGAGTAAAAAACGCTTATTCACCTCCCTGTTTTAACAATTTTTTTCGAGCGTTAGTCTCCTTGCGCCCCACCTGCCTGTAGTAGTCTTGTGGGCCGCGCTCGCGCAAAAAAGTTGACTTGCAAAAAAAAGAGGGAGGACTTGAATAAACCTAGCTGTAAAGGAGTTAAAAAAAACGACTCAAATGACCACAAACCACCTGTGGCAACACTGATTAAACGAGTTAAACTAGTTTAACGAGTGTTAGGGGATGGCTTGTTTTCGCGGACATCGCGATTATCCGCGGACATCGCAACCTCCCGCGGACATCGCCATTATCCGCGGACATCGCGGGCGGCGACTCATCCCCTTACTCGTTTTCGTTGCATCCCCTTAATTTGATGGGGTGATTTCAATCCATCAGTCGAGAGGCGGACATCGCACCGTAGCACCCTGAATCGTACGGCATCTTGTAGCCCATGGTCTAATTGGTCTGGAAACTTGTAGGCAGGCCTCTAGCTATAAAGGCAAGCGAGAAAAATGCACGTGCTCTCGGTTGAGTGGCCAAGAAAAAAATGCCAGACTGCAAAAACGTAGAGGGACTAGCGGCCCAATGCGGCATCCTACAGGTCTGAGTCCTATCACATCTTGAAGCCCATGCGCTGCAGCGCATTTTGACTCTATTGCGAGGTCAAGAGCTTACAGAGCAAGTGAGAAAACGAATCATCATTTTTGAGGAGTGTTAGGGTCCCATCGGCCAATGAGCCGTCCTGCAGTGCTGCGTCCTATCTCATCTTGAAGCCCGTGCTGTGCGGCGCATTCCGCCTTACAAACTGAGTTATAACTCCAAGTTCTCACTCCGCCTGGGCAACTTTTTACTTAAAATTGAATTTTTTTAATTGCAGGCCGTAAATAGAAATGAATGCTATTTCTTGAGCCCCAGTGCAAGACGAATTTCTTTTATTCGCGGAACAAACCAAATCTCCGAAATAGCTAGATGGGAGGCAGCCAGGTTGGGTCCATTGCAGCGAGGTTGTTGGGATCAGTTGCGGCCTCCAGCAGCTGGCATACTTTCTTGTTGAC